TCGGCATCTCACTGTATGCTAATTAGCCACATGGAGCCAGAAACCGTCTCATCCAGTGAGACCGGTTGAGTCTAAAGATGGTTCAGATAAAAAGAGAGCTGGAGATGCCTCACACTCACAGCTGAAGCCGGAGGAACTGAAGGACTTGTGTCTGTATCTGTAGACGAAGGCTAAACCCAAATGAAAGCAGCAGGCTGGACTCACAGCATCGCTCTGTTTATGAGGACAAACTCCACAGTCAATCTGTTCTACACTCTGTGTTTGGTTTGGGAGGAGAGCCTGTGGCATCTTTATCTATTTGATTTTATAATAATGACCTATTCACACGTTTGTTTTCTAATTAAACAGTTAGGAAAGATTCCATTGTGTCTACAGGGTGCGTAAACTTGTCTGGAAATCGAATCGTGTTATTGGAGGATTCGTGGGCCAATATAAAGGTTTTAAATGCTTTTTACTTAAACTTTGTCACAAAAAATACAAAAAAAACCCCAAAAAACTAACCCTAACCCTAGGTCATTCAAGCCGGAATAAAATCTTGAACCTGGTATTTCCTGACAAAAATAAAAAGCAGGGGGGAATCATCTGTCCCCTGAAGTACGTGAATGTGCACAAGTTTCTGCTATAAAATCAAATAATCAATAAAAATGATGACGAACCCCTACAGAAAGAGGAGCTCAGAACTGTGAACATTTAGTAATTACAAACAGAACACGAGTGTCTGCTTACATAATCCGTCCTAAGGAATATTTGTCCCGTTCATCACGTTCGTAGAAATAACTAAACGTGTTTTTCTACCTGCTAGCAGCAGCCAGCAGCTTCCAAAGTGACTTTTTGTTCCTCTGAAGAAAATGACATTCCACACAGGGGAAAATCTCCTGCTAATGCCCTCCCCTGTAGCAGCGGCTATAGTGAAATGCACACAACCTGGGATTCAGCGTAATTAGTTCTGACCAAGCGGGCGGCTGGCCGGAGGAGTCTGGCTGAGTTCAAAGGGGGGGGTGTCCCTAATCAGGAAACATTAAGTGTTCTTACCAACGCGACGCCATTAAAATCCCCCCGGCCCGTCGCCGCGTTAGCACCGGGGGTTACCGACGGTTACCGATGGTTACCGGGGGTTACCGGCTCTCCGGACATCTGCTGAGGTACGCGGCCCGCAAACACCCGCACGGAATAAAAAGCATTTAAAGGAAGCACAAAAAGGATTTCAGAGAGGCTGAAAGTACCAAAAAAAACAAAAAAACGGAGGAGGAGGAGGGGTTCCCTTTAAGACAAAGCGCCGAGCATGGAGGCCGTGGAGGCTGCAGAATCTGAATTAAGCATAGATTGGCCTATATTGTGGCAGTGGGAGAAGCCAGGCCTCAGGAAAGGGGGGGGGGGGGGGATTCAGGCGGGCAGGAGGGACCCCACGCACCCCCACCCCACAGGGCCAGTAGTTGAGTAACTCCGACTTTCAGGAATATCGCGCATAACTGGGAGTCAGGAGGGGGGGCAGCCAAACTCTTCTGTTTTTGGTTCGGGCCCAAATGGCCCACGCTGACCCGCTCGTTAGCCGGTGAGTCTGCGGCTGCCCACCAATTAACGAAGGGGCCAGAGGTTTCCACTGGGGGGGCGTCCCCCCCCACCCCCCCCCACCCTGCATGAGTCCACCCCTGACCTATAGGGGCCTGTGCTGGGCCGGAAGGGGAGGGGTCACCGCCAGGTCCAGAGGGATGTGACGCCTTATGGAGGGTGGGGGGGGCGTAATGATGGGGTAAGGTAACACACACACACACACACACAAACTCACACACACACACCCCACGCACCCCAGCCCCCGTCGGTCAGTGTGATGGCTTCATCCGAGGAGAAAACTGGAGTTTTGCT